GAGTCGGGTAAATTTTAAAAAATTCCTGATTTTTTACTGAATTTTTTGAGTCCATCGAAAGTTTATTTCTTTATCTGTAGCAAAGAAGAAATTATATTTTCATTTCCCCCACTCTTGAAATCCTAATCCTTACTGTATATAACTCTGTAGCGTCTCGCTCGAACTCAACGCGCAGGGCGCGTTTCTCGCATTGCTCAACGCTACGAGTTTCTTGATCGAGTATTCCTGGTGGACCATGCTCGTTTAGTTTTTGAGAATTTGAGATAAGCCGGGAGAGAGAGGGAAAGACAATCTCTGTCGCGGGCGCCTCGCGTGTGAGGCTGAAGGCTCCCCGAATCAGGGTAAATTTTAACGTTCCCGATTCTGTCTGCTTGTCAGTTTTTTATCGCGTTAATTTGTCGGACCGCGACTGTGAGATTAAGTGATCGCGGAAATTCGGTCATGGTAGAGCAACCCATTTCATTGTCGATTTTAAGTAGAGTCTCGCCAGCGATATTTCTAGAGTATATCCGTCATCTAAAATTAATAAGGGCTTATGGAACCCTAGTGTCTTAAATCAGCCAATCGAGAACTCCTTAACTGTAACTATCTATACCATAAGTGTGGGTAATTCAGCCCTCGGCAGGGGCTGGAAAGATGCATTTTACTGTTTAAATGGTGCGGAATCTCATTTTGAATTTCGTGCCCGCTGCTTCACGTGAACATCGCATACATCGCTAGGTCATGATACACAACCAGAAATCAAGGCGCTAATACAAAACGATGAGAAAGGTGGAGAAATCGAAAGATTCGTAACCATTGTGAAATTCTATATAAGCGTCTCTCAGAACAAAGAGTTTTTTTGCTAGATCCATGCTAGAGTTATAAGTATTATAACAAGTTTTCGCGTTATAGATAGTTCTATGTGCAACATAGTTCTGAAATCTGCCATAATAAGATGATTTAAACATCTACATATTGATATATAGGAAGAGACGCGAAATACAATTACCTCATTAAATGAACTGACCAGTAAGTGAAGCTCTATTACGATTGAATGAGGCGTCTCTTCCGAATAGATCAATCCCTCCCTAATCCCGACCAACTTTTGCCAGCTACCTCAATAACTACGGCAGTGCATTAAAAAAAATGAGCAAACTGTTCGGTAAGTATTGGAATTAAGCAAATGCTTTTTCATGACCATACTTTAAGGTGAAGTGAAACACGGAAATCAGAAATTGAATAGACGGCAATACAAAATATTCTTCTAAATATCTGTTACCAACGTTCGTATTTATATTGGCAGCTGTGTCGATTTATATTGGGTATTGTACTAAATGGTATACTCTGTGTCGTTTCCATAAAATAATTATAAAAAAAATCGATGTATAACACCAGAAATCCCATGAATTCATGAGTTCTCATGCCTTAAATGTCTGCAGAGTGCCTCCCTGCGCCATCTGTGATTTCATTACCGACTAAATTTTCTCTTCGGGACCTCGTGTTACCTTCGTTTTAGCCTAGAAGCGTATAAGATACTTTGTATCTCTTTATCTCGTTCAAAAACGAGTTTCTCGATTATTATAGTGTTTTAAAGTGTTGTATAATTGTCCTGACATTTTCGTTTTTCATATCGAAGTATTTAAGGTGAAGTGAAACCCCCTTCAAATCAGCCGATTCGAATACAACACTTTTTTTTAAGGGTATTAGACCAAACTGTCCGAAACTTTGACACATCGCTCCTGATCATCTAAGAATTGTCCTGACACATTTAAAATTTAGATTTTTGGATAAAATTTTGTAACTTAGCCCAGACCAGAACCAAAATGGCGTCGAGCTCTCATATTTCGATCAATATACAATTATCGAAGGCTCTGATATGAGAATCGAAAGGGTCAGGACAATTTTACGACAATTTAGAACACTCTGGTAATCGATAAACTCGCATTTGAACGGGATAAAGGCAAAAAAAGTGTTGTATGCGCTTCTATGCTAAAACGATGGGAATACGAGGTCTCGGAGTGAAAATTTAATTGACCTGGTAATCACAGATGGCGCAGGGGGTCCCTCTGCAGTCAATTTGGGCCCCAGAAAGCATGAATCCAGAGGATTTCTGGAGTTATATTCAATTTCTTTATAATTAATGTACGAAAACGACAGGTGGAGTATGCCATTTGGTACAATATCCAATATAATTCGACACAGTTGTCAATATAAAAACGAACGTCGGCAACGTAGGCATTTAGAAAAATCTTCTTTATCGACGTCGATCAAGTTCCTCGACGTGTTTCACATCGCCTTAATAATTGTATATCGATCGAAATATGAGAGCTCGACGCCATTTTAGTTTTAGTCTGTCAACAAATTGTTTTCCGAAAATCCAAATTTTGAAAGTGTCAGGATAATTCTTAGGTGCTCGCGAGTCATGTGCCAAAGTTTTAAGCAGTTTATTCCAATGCCCTTAAAGAAAGTGTCTCATTCGAATCGACCGATTTAAGGGGGGTTTCATTTCACCTTAAATCAGTGGTGACATTGACATGGAAACGGAGGTACGACACGTTGATGTATTCGGGACAAGCGCTTCATATAATCATGGCAGAACTTCATTTGCAGATAAGTTCGTTTAATCATGTACTGATAATTTGAATTTCGTTCTATACGTTTGACTAATTCTAAGAAATTAAAATTCTTACCGGCAATGGGTGAACTCCTACGATAGAAGGCGCCATAAAACTAAGAACTAGTAGCTTCTGAATGATTGAATACTTCGGAGCAAGATGTATGTAGCAAAACACACTGGCTAACATACATTGCAGTATGTAATTCTGAATTATCAGGAAGCCTGGACCATTGTTCATAATTTCCGATAAATTTAGACACAATATATCATCCAATATACTGTTCGATGTCTCGTGTGAACTCATGTAGGTGACGATCGCCTTCATCGTACTAACGTTTGACCAATACGATATAAATATTATACCGACTGAAGTCAGGTACAAGTAAACAATAACTAGATGTTTCGTCCACAGCATAAATATGCATAATGCCGCCACAAGACCTGCAAAATAAATAAATAAATAATTTTTACTGAAAAATGTGACAATGTAAAAAAGAAGTAAATATTCATTTTATATTGTAAACAGCAATATATCAACAATGATAATTTTCGAATACATTCCATAATAATTTTCTTAAAATATATAGATATTATTCAAGAAGCTAAATAAATGTTACAAGTTCCTTTCTATAGACTCTTCGTATAATTTTGTCTTTCATTATCAGAACATTTTCCCTAATCAAAATGACATATAACGTTACAAATTCACCACTGCCTTCTTACAGCAAGAGATATTTTGGGTAACGAGATACTTTTATCAGAATACAAGTTAAGAAATAACTGAACTGATTTATGTTTATAGGGGCATTATAAATAACAATTTATATGGTTAGGGACGTGGCGAAATGGAATCGCGATAAAATTACGAAAATAAAAGGAACGCAAGGGCAGACGCGCGAAACTTCTAGCAATATAGGACCTGCAACCCGAACCGGATTTTCGGACGGGTATCCGATAAAATTAGAAGTGCCGGCGTTTATCGGATCAAAAACTGGTAGGCCAGTTAAATTCATAAAATACCTAAAACAATATTGTATTACGATAGCTGTGAGCGACTTCGCGACAAAAACGATAATAGGGCAAAGCTTAAAAGATGCAGCATGCGATCGGTGGTACCTCATGAGTGATGAGGTAGCTAATGTAGAAGACTTCAAGAGGATCTTCTTAAAAAGGTTCTGGAGTAAGGACACTCAATACCGGATCCGAAGGTTATTAGAATACGGATGGTACGACGAGCGACGAAGATTAACCGGAACCGAATTCGCGATGCAATTAATCGGGAACGCGCGCGACCTCTCCGCGAACCTCAGCGACACCGATATTATAAAATAGCTCTCGCAACATTACTCCGACATGATCCATCACGCGTGTATTTCGCGAGAAATTAAGCGTCTGTCGGATTTCCTCGAGTTACTAGAAGCATTCGACTAGGCTGGATCAGTAAACGCCACGCGAATTAAATATCGTCGCAACGCGGATACGTACGAGTGGGAACCAGAAAATACGCCTACCACTTATGATAACAGAGAACAAAAATCGATACCGAGGTACGAACATCCTTACCGGGAGGATCAACACGCTACGCGGTCGTGAGGACACCGGGAGAGGGAGACGCCGCGACCATCGACACCGACCTATGCGAAAGAAGAGCACGCCCCGACGATAAGTTATCGCAGGGAGGACGCGCGAGTAAAATACAACAACAGGGGCGCTTCAGGGAGAATTTTGTGAACTAAATGCTCAAGGAGCGCCATTTTTCGGATGAACTATGCGGAACCAGTGTTCAAACGTATGTTCAAGCAGGGAATTCACCGAGTATTTCTAAATTTAGAGCTACATTTGTGAGATGTTGTGACGTGATGTGTGTTAGTTAGCGGGTCATTTTTTCAATGTACAATTTTTGGGAGTATACGAGCGGAACTATGTCTGCAACTTATTGCAAACTGTTGAACTACTATGGACGCTGCTAGAACTGCTACTAAGAAGTGACACGCTATTCTATAAGACGTCAACTTCACAGGGGTCTGGCGCGCAATTTTGTTTGTATGCAGCAGAATTTGTGTCTAGCGACGCGAACGGTTCCGCGTGGACAATTAGGTGAAAGTGATGGGCGATCGTCTGGGCGTTACGGGCCCAGCATCGTCTCCCTTCTCTTTCTTTATCTAAATTAGGAATCAACACATACATATACACTTAATATCATTAAAACATATGATAGACAAGATTATAAGAATAAAAAGGAGGAAATTCTTACCCAAAATGCAGGCATTAACTTTCAGAGCAGATAGAAGAATTGCTTGATAAGTATAGTGTGTTGAGTTGACTGCTTGCACTGTAAACGGTTCTGGTGTTGCCACGAAGGAACCGACGAATGTATCCGAAACACCTTCTCCAGGAAAGCCCAATCCTATTCTTAGCAATTCATCGATGATAAATAAAGCTGGCACCCTCATTATCACATCGGCGAATTTCAGAACCTTAGAGCGCATTGTGGTATCCATTTTTAAACTTCTATTTTATCGACGAATGTTCTTTCTTTAAGATTACGATGCTCCTATGGAATTCAAACCTTTGTACCTCATCACGTGGCACGGTTCTTTTTTCATTTGATTATTGGCGATTACCGCTTCTTAATGGCCAACAATTTTGAATTAAAGCAGCCATTGTTTCGATAGCAAATTTTTCATGGGTTATTCTTTGTGGAATCTTATGTTTCTCTTATTGTAACGGTTATTACGTTCACCTTGTCTTCTTTATAGGAATTTTCCTTGTTTGCGAAACTTACTAGAAACGAAGCATATGGAAATATTTTACTTCCAAATTTTCCACATGACAATTTTTAATTTGTCATTTTCAAAAATATTTTTAAAGTAGTTCACTTCAGTATAGGAGGTAATGCCCATAAATACGGTTGATACATTTGGTTCTCATTGACAGTCAAGTATTCATGAAGTATGTCCTTGAGAAGAGACACCTGTAAGAAATTAGTGATTAATCGATCAATTGGTGGATATTCTGTTTACGAAGTTATTTATTTATATATTTAAAATGAAGGTAAATCAATGACGACAGCTGTAGTCTATTTTTAGTAGAGTACGTTTGATAGACATAGTCCACTGATATAGGCATACTGATAGCATAACTGGTTGAAGTATATGTACCCACAGACAACTGTATCAAATCAAGAACACCTTCATCAGGTGTAAAAACACTTCGCCGCGCGCACGCGTGCGTGTGTGTGTCCATCAATAATAATTTCTGATTATAATTTCGGTTTCATTATCTTAATCCGGTCACAGAACAACTGAAATCAATTATTATTCACCAAAGGATATCAAGTGAATCCCATTTGGAACACTACTCCCCTGGTTTTATAAAATTTGATTGACCAATCAAATTTCTCAAAACCGGATTGGTCGAGTTCCCTCCTGACGACCCCCCACCAGGCAACCCGAACCGGCCAATTTGGATGTACCTCAACCCTGTAAGAGGGGACGCCCCAAGAACGGGGATACATTTTACCAGTGTCTGCCCTGATGAAGCGAAGTGCAACGTTTGCGAAACGTCGGCCCTCTGGCGACAATGGACGCGGGTCGCTCCCGAAAGCCCCAACTAATTTAAAGAACAACTCTGACCGCGGAAGCTTAAAACCTTCAAATACAAACAATCTTTCTTCTTAGGTTCATTACGATCTTTTATCAGCCAAATAATTAAAACACAGAATTTATACAACTATGTAATTCAAATTGTTAAAGAACTATCGCTACGATGTATCAAATGCAAAAAGTATGTCACTTCGGGTTCATTAATACCTTTTCTAAACTGAAGCATTGAAACACAGAATCTATAACATAAAAAATGTAAACAATTTTTAAAACATTTCTGCCGAATCGGTGAGAGGGAGTGAGGGGGGAGAGAGGGAGCGAGAGAGGGGGGGAAGAGAGGGACAGAGAGGGACAGACAGGGACAAAGAGAGGCAGAGGGAGAGGGAGAGAGAAGGAGAAAGAGAGACGCAGTGGAAGGATCATCATTATTTAAGATATTGTCTGTACGGCCTTTTCGGTTCTATTAGGAGCTCTATTAGAAGGCAGACTGCCTCTATTGATCAGGGTCTCGCCATTTTTGGAATGCAGACCTTTCTCCAAAACGGGTAGTAACGAGGATCACGTGATCACGCATCGTATAATAAGGAGTGCTGTTTGAGCCGAAATTTACAATCCTGAGCATATGTTGGTGTCGTAAGATTTAGATTTCGGTAGTTTAGTGTCGCCCACTCACTACCATAAATGTAACTTCGAGTAGCCATGAGTGTTTAACCTAAAGCTGTCATCGATATGTAGTAATCTGAAAATAATTCATTGGTCGCGATACAGAGGAAACAGCACTTATGTTTAACCTACGAATGTGGTTCATGTTTATTAACCCTTTCGGTACGAGCGCTCTGTCCGCCGAGACACTTCCGCTGTACGAGGCGCCGCTCCGAAAATGAACAGGAGCGCGTGCAGACAGGCTGTCACATGGATGCCAGATATATCCGGCGCTCGTACACACAGGTCATCAGATGGATGCCGGATATATCCTGCACTCGTACACACAGGTCATCAGGTGTTTGCCGGATATATCCGGCGCTCGTACCCAAAGGGTTCATCTGTTTGTCGCAAAGCAGAGGAAATGGTACTGCATGGCCGGAGTCCCACTGAATGAGTTATGTGCCAGACAGAGCACGGCGCGTCAATACATCGAGGATGAAACCCAATCAAAACAGCAACGCATGTGACGCACGACGTTTAGCGTAATTCTGATTAATTTTTCATCCTTGGCACCAATCAACAGCGCCCCGTCAATCAGGTTACGATCGAGCCCTTACCCTCTCCCTCGGAGTAGCAAGGAACTCAGTAATCTTCCCCGTTCCACAATAAAAGGTGACAAAATTATGTTTCTGACAGATATTGGAGCGGAAATTAGTTTGATAAAAGGATGCCACGTTAGACCAGACGCACTATTTTACGATGACGAACTACTCCGATTATGCGGAATAGGCGTCTCAATGCCATGTGTCACAAACGTCACAACCGTAGGCTATACCTTCTTCTTGACTATCAATGGTAGGCCACACAAATTCCACATAGTAGAGGCAGGACTAATATTAAAACAGGCAGGCATCCTGGGAGAATCATTCTTCCGCTCAGAAAAGGCAAGTATTTCGTATAAAACCAACAGTCTAAATCTTCGCGATATATCATATCCGTTCACAGGGAGTTGTGCTGTAACCCTAGCGGCACGAACAGTCAGTTTTGTTAAGATGCCCGTTCTTAATCCAGGAGTGTAGACCGGGATAATTCATCGACAAAAAGTCGAAAAAGATATTTTATTAGGCGATAGCCTAATGTCGGTAGATTCCGACAACTGCGTAGCATAGCTAACCGAAGCGAAAATGATAGCAAGTTAGTCTTACCGGCGTTAGAACTGGAATCATTTAGCGAAACTAATTACCCGAGGGCCCAAATTCGCGGAACCAGTTCGAATCTTTACGCCGAATCCTTCAACTCCACTCCAATAATCCGCCATTGCGCGACGTATTTCCAAATTATCCGCCATCGAGCGACGTATTTACAAATGATCCGCCATGGAACGACGTATTTCCGAACGATTCGCCATCGAGCGACATATTTCCAACAGAGATGCTCACGGACAGGTTCGCGCGATCGCATCCTGTGCTGCCCTCTACATTCGTACGTTAGCTATCACCGCTTTTGCCCCCAAGGGCGACGCAACAAATTTCTGGTAGGGGCTCGCGCACTCGCGATGGCGGTGCCATCTACCAGTCGCCGTTGACGGCTCACGTACTCGTGTTGGTAATACGCTGGTATTGATACTTTCTGATCTCGAGTTCTCTTTTACATTAACATTTAACTCAATTTTCTTCCGATAACAGTTTAACATTTTAATACTTTCATCTTGATGTACTTGTAACTCGATATTTTCTACGTATTCATAATTATAATAAATTGTAGTGTTACGTGGGGCCGAGTGACTAGCGAGGCCGGGAGAATTTTTCAGATTCCTCCGAGCGGTATACTGTTTCTAGAGAAATTAACTCGTACGCACGCGTAACCAGTTTATGATTTGAGAAATATAGAGAGGATGACCCGAGCGGCTAGGTCAACCTCTTTAGTGGGATCGATAGGTTTTTGGTCCTCAGAGGGTGATTGGAAAGTTGCAATGAGGACATAGGAGGGTTTTAAGGTTTCGTGAGAATCAAGTCGTCGTTTTATGTTGAATGAAACAGTTCTATTTATGCAAGGGGTACAATGTCCATGGGGGTAAGGTGTGCTAAGCGGATCGTCGCGAGACGAGACAAAGACGTTGGAGGCTGCGCGCTAGCGGCTTGCGGAAGTGTAACGATATATGTCCGCGTATCAATTGCGGAATGCTGACACGAGATTCTTTGCTTGCAAGGTGCGCTTTGCCTTACTCAGCAAGGGCGGTTAATAAGTTGCGATTTATACTTGAGAAGGTAGAATTTGGTAGTCGTTACCAGAAGGTGAATACCGAATTCTGTTGCGGGTTAGTAATTTGGAATAGGGTTCGAAATAGAGTGATGAAAGATTGAAAGAGTAGAAGAGTGAAAGAGTGGAGCTCTTCGAAGAGGATCTGTACCTTGGCTTCGCAGAGGCCTATACTTCCGGTGACGTCTCTACTACGTCCTGCCGGTTGCGATGAACTGCACGTGAACGCCTTCAAACCGGGGCGTGCCCTAGGGTTGGAGTTTCCTAAGATTCTCCCGCTGGTCCGGAATTCGCAGCGCCGTCGTTCTTCTCACTGTTGACTCGTGGATGTCGGAGTGCCGAAACGCACAACTATTACTACAGTACGGTCAACTCTTCAGAGAGCCCCAAGCACACGGAGTATAGACTGACTGATCGTCTAAAACTAGCTCCTGAGACTGAACTCCTTAGACTGCCCTTTTTTGACTGCTCGCTGCTCTTTTTCGGTGCCGTTTTTATACGAGATCTTATCCTTGAGATGCCTGTAGAGGACAGGGTCCAATTTCCTTGTTTTTGGATTTTGTTGTTAGAAGCTTGATTGGACATGCTCAGGAAGTCACTATGTTGACGGAAGAGTAGGTCCCGTGTTTTGGTCAAGAGTGCAGTTCGGTGCGGAAGGCGTGCGAATAAGCCAAAACATTCCTCGATGATTGCTCCACTCGTTGTTATTTTTCCGGTTTAATCAGATGGTACTATCGTTGCCTTGGATTCGATATTTGTCTTCCGGTAGTTGACGCATATTTAATAGAATGTGCACCTCTCTATTTTGAGGAAAATCGGGTAGCCTCGTAACAGTAGTTTACTTTCAACACCAGCTTCAATTTTCTTTCGACACCAGTTTTAATTTTCTTATGATACCAGTTTCAATTTTCGTTCGATACCAGTTCACACTTCCAGTTTCGTGTACTGGTACATCGATACTTTCCTCATGTCTACATTACAAATGATTTTTAGTTTTCTTTCGATACCTATTTTAACATCAACTCTTTTATTTTTGAAAATAAGTAAATCCTCTTCTGATACCAGGTTTTAACATCACTTTTACTTTTGCAAATAATTAAAATTTCCTCTGGTAGCAGTTATAACATCAATTCTTTTACTTTTGCAGATAATTAAATTTTCTTTCAATACTAGTGTTAATGTTAAAACCGGTATCGGAAGAAAATTTAATTATAAAAGTGTTAATGTTATAACTGGTATCTCATTACAACTCATCTCTGCTTCCACACTACCCGCCATCGAGCGACGTATTTCCAAATCATCCGCCACTGAGTGACTTATTCCCAAATAATACGCCATTGTCCAACGAAAAGACAATTCAACAATCTAATCACTGACCCTACGATTATGGGTAGTGCATCTCTAAATAAATCCTCATTGCGAGAGTCATTCAGAATTGAAACTCGAAATCATGAACGTACATTCGTCCTTTCAATCAACACTAGCGCGAACCGCATGAACTTACTACACGAAAGTCTTAGAATTAAACATTTAAATGCCAAGGAACACTCGAGCCTCGTTCCACTCCTAGAAGAGTTTTATGATATCTTCTATCTACCTGGCGACATGCTAATTTACACCCACGCCATGACACATTCGATTCCTACCACGGATAGCACCCCTCATTACTGTGATGCAGTGCCGATATACCGAAATCTACAAAGAGGAAGTTCACAGACAAATGAACGAATTGCTTACTCAAGGCATCATTACGCCCTCCAGCTCTCCTTCCAATTCACCTCTTTGCGCAGTTCCTAAAAAACTCGATGCCCAAGGACGACGAAAATGGCGCGTCGTCATCGATTATAGAAAACTCAACGAGAAAACAATCACAGATGCATATTCGCTTCCCAACATTACGGAAATCCTCGATTAGTTGAGCAGCGCCAAATATTTTACAACGATAGATTTGGCCTCAGGGTTCCATCAGATTGAAGTAGACCCTGCCGACAGTTATAAAACCGCATTCTCCACCCCGACAGGACATTATGAATACACACGGATGCCTTTTGGATTAAAGAATGCACCAGCAACCTTTCAGAGATTAATAAACAGTGTTCTCTCCGGATTGCAAAATAACGAGATGTTCGTTTATCTGGACAATATCGTCATTTACGCGAGATCACTTCAAGAACACGACATAAAACTTCGTAATCTATTTAACAGGCTTAGGGATAATAATCTACAAATACAGCCTGACAAATACGAGTTCCTGAAGACCGAGGTAGCATACCTGGGCTATACTATATCGGAAAAGCCCAACCCTAACAAGATCAAAGCCATAAAATCATACCCTGCTCCGAAAAGTGCCAAACAGATTAAACAATTCCTAGGACTAACTGGCACTATAGAAGATTTATCCCAAATTATAGTAAAATCACAAAGTCTCCTACCAACCGGTTGCCCAAGGATGTCTGGCACTATCTCGAAAATATTGTTCGGAACTCTCGACGCTGGTGACGCGATATACTCTAACGATCAGATCGACATAATTTACGAAGACGATAAACAAGTAGCAACACTGGTCAAGGAACAAACCAACATAATCCAAGGTTTCGTGACCAACCTAAATATCACGATCGACGAAATAAAAAACGGAGTTCGAAAAAAATACAAGGAAAAATAGAAACGATACAACAATATATAATGGACCACGTGGGAGAGTCGTGCGACGCGAAAATACAAGTAGAAATGAACGCTCACGTTATCGAACTCTCGAGTCTAATTAACTCGTATGAATCAGCGCTTACGACATTAACTAATGCCGTCATGCTCGCATTTAAGGGACTGATTCACCCCGACATCCTCTCACCAACTCACCGAATGGACACTCTCATAAAAATCAAAACTACTCCGCCAAAATCAAGATTTCCCCGTAACACTCGTGCCTGCCCATGCTCACGATTTGATTAAAGTTAGTAACCAACAGAACTCTCTCTCAATGGACGACTGATATATGTTATAACAATACCATTAACCGATAATCTCATACCGATTCCAGCCCCGTTCCAAGGTGATATATTTACATACATAAGCCCTAGAAAACGCCAAATTATTACGCCTAATTGACAGCATTTTATGCTCCTAAATGAACTCGGTAGCGAAAAATGCAAACCGCTACGCAATATCAAAATGTGCATTTAAGAGCAACCCTTCTATACTTCCCTCTATATAAATCCTGTGAAACCGACCTGCTCACTATCGGGGACACCGATATCAAAAGAAATTGCAATGTTAGATTTATCCGCCTACAAATCACCACGTGGACCCAATTAAAACGTAAGAACAGCTGGCTGTATATAGCCGTTAAAAAGGAATCAGTAGATATTTTGTGCGAGCTCCAAAGAGTCCTCGAGCAAAAATTCTCAAACGGGCTGAACCGTCTCTCAACCTGCTTGCGAGGCACCTGTAACCCTGGTCGAATAGTCCGAAGTCGACGAGTCTACGGTTATTCCTGTCAACCACGAGGCACCTGAAATAAGGTATCCTTGTTACTTTACTCGACGAGGTCTTTGACTGATTTCAACCATCTCGAAGCGAGTCCCCAAAACGACCCACGAGGCCCGGTCCGATCGATGTCCTCAGGCAACCGTTAGCGCCACTCCTGAGCAAACGATCCCCGACCTAACAGGACCCCAGCCTTATAACGAATCTACCATGATGCCACTTGCGGCAACTCTACGGAACTTGAGAGGAATACAAGTGCGACGAAAGGAATGCAGGCAGAAAACGATGATAAACACGTTAAGTGAGCGAAACGTGACCTAAAATATCTTCCGATTGGCGTAGCGTATGGCGGATGACTAAAAAGTTTGGAAAAATTACAAGCTCCACAAAACCTACTTTTATTATGCCAAACATGGGTCCATAATTTATTTTAATTGAGAAATAAATATTTATCAAACTGAAGTGTTGAACGTTGGAATTAAGTCTTTGGCGCCGTTCGCGTATGCTTTTCAATGTATTTGGCGCGAAACTCGCCCGAATTTCCTGATATATGATTCGATATAGAAATAATGACGGACTTTATGATTTTAGTTAAATTCATTGATGTCCTGGGATCTGCCATAATGCAAAAGCAACGGCGTCATAATAAATCATAATTTTTACTGCGCATGTAAACTATCTGTTAAGAAAACGAAATACCCAGGAAAGACATGTCAACTCCTCAAACTAATTTGATGTAGAAGCTTTTTGGAATCTATCGTGATGCATAGCGATATAATATGAAATCATCTTTTCAGTGAGTCTAAGCCTAACCAAACCAAATGCACTACAAACTAATGTAACCAATATAACTATCTGAAACTAATGTAATCAATATAAATTTCTCATTGACTGTACTTAGTGGTGAACATTCTGAGCACTTATATTTATTTCTTTACACTTCAAACTGTTTCAAACGTGTACTGTCTATACATGACGTTGGACATTCTTGGTTTTTAATATCAATAAATTCAAAATATGGAATTGAACTACAAATAATTAATAATTTTTTGAAGTATTCTTGATGATGAATATGTACATCAAATATTTGGTAAAAAGTATTGTTATCCTAACCAATACTCCGAAACCTGCCACTTAAACTAAAAGAGTTATCAAACATGCTATTCCGTCAATATCCTCGTACTAAGTTCCAAATTATGTATTTTCTATAATAAAATTAATATGAAAAGTTTTTTACTGTACACTTCAATGAAGTACAATCATTTATTGTTGATTCATACATTTGAGGTTCATAAAATCCATTAAGTTTCAGTGCTATTTAGTCAACGTCCTGGTCTTGCTCGAACAATTTAAAATATTGCAGAAATGGAATATTACAGTCAGATGGGAAAATATGGAAAATACTTTCATGGACAATTGCAAGAGAATGCTGACTTGTCCCATGGGCAACACGTGTTTTTAAAGCGAACATTTAATTGCAGATAGCATCAGTGGTGCCATTGATCCATTAGAGTATCAAAAATCATGAATCCATGGGAATTCAAGAGTTTTCCTTCGATCACTTTATAACTATTCTATTGAAATAACACATAGAACACTTCATTTCATGTAATTGTCAACATAGAGTAAACTATCATCAACATAAATACAAATGTCGATAACATGGCACGCCGGCTTATGTTACCACTTACGTATTCAAAGTGGCATGACCACCAAAAAGGGTATGGATGAATTTTATTTTATCGATGTCAATTAAATTTCTCAGTGTCTTTTATATAACCTAATTAGAATCCAAAAATCGAAATGGTTAATTGTTTACTACAATCAGCTGCATAAATTACAATGATAAGAAAACAGTGTCCTGGTATATGCCATGCAGCATACGCTCATATCACGCACACACATGTGCAGATACATATATACAACATACATTCCATTACAAAAAATACAAGACGATTCCTAATTGAAATAATGCAAGATTAGAATTCTTGGTTCTTCACTAATGTCCAATAAGTTGAAAGATTCCATCTTCGACACGTTAGAATGTAAAAAATACTGAATTTTGAGCATCAACATTTGAGGTGAGTTTTACTTATTGAATTTGCAAAATAGAACATAAAAGAAATAAATGTTCCATATTTTCAATTAAATATGTCAGAATGTGTAAAGCAGATAATGAATACCTCATATACCTCCCTTGTAATTGCTAATTATAATATTGATATTTTGTTTATATACATTTGATAACTTCATACTTAAACATAATGAATTTAAAAGTGCAAAAATCATAACATTCTAAGAATGTCCTCTTGTTTTTTATTTATTAATTGTGCTACCATGCATCATTAAATTATGATATGGCTAATAAATGTTGTATCAAATTTGAATGTTTATGAACAAAGAGAAATTAAAAGTATCCCCTAATAGTATTCTCTCAATTATACACAATAATGACCAGAAGTAGGTGCCCGGTGAATTTGAAATCGCAGATACTATAATTTTAATGATCAAATTGAAAAACTAATGGAAAGGTTTAGAAAGATAAAATTTTATTTTCTTTAAAAATAATATAAGAATGAATTACCTGCCACTTGCACATTATGGGACACATACTCCCTCCATGTTATCCATGTGTCAGGGAACAATCTTGGCTGAGTAAATACATGCTGATTCTCTCATTAACTCCGTTAATAAGAGCTTTGGTATTTAAACACTGCTTGCTTCATGTGCACCGATCACAAAACGATAGCAACATGCGCATACTTGATTGAACTTGTGGCCATGTCTCGGATAACAGCAGCTTAGTTACAGCGATCAACAGGGTATACTATTAATCCATAAACAAATAAAATCATCAAGTTAATTGGGAGTGTATTAGGCAATATTTACATAATTGTTTACAACTGATAACAATGCCACATCATCACTTTAAGTTTTCCTACTTTTTAAATTAACATGATATATGATTGTCTAGAACCAAATTTACATGAAATATATAGGGTTTTTGTACGGAACATACCAAACTACTGGCTATCAAATCTAATGCTACTACTGCAACAGTAAAATTTACTCTGAAATGTTTTATTGACAAATCTTCAAATTAATTCTGTTAATACCATGTAAATTTTTAGCAAGGGATGATGATAATCATCAGTTTCGTTACATTGGTACTTCTAATCATGATAAGAAAACTCGTACTAAAGTCAAAATTATTGTTGTATGGGTCAGGAAATTTTCCTTACTTGACAAACCCTACGATTAGATAAATTTAAATAGCTGTCAGTGAATATCAATCACAGATGTACATAGCACGTACGTTATATACTTGAAAGATATATCGATAGTGTTTAGTAATATACAGAAAATAGGTGTTAAAAGATTCACTTTAAGATTTATATGGTATATTAAACATTCAGCACTAGTCAATCATTCATGAAAAACTCATAGGTTACGTCGCACGCGTTCACACGTATATACCACACAATCAAGAGATTTGAATTGTCACCCAGTGTTGCCACTTTCTAAGTCTCCACCGTCGGTGTTTATTCAATATCGGATTAGATAAATCCGACTTTGAGCGCATCTCTACCACAAAGTTAATTCGATGTTAAATAAAATTAAGTGGTAGAGACATACCCAAAGTCCGACTTATCCTATGCAGAGATGAATGGAAATCCTATGCAAATTGGTTGGTGTTATAAGCGGTTTACTAAAAACCATAAGAAGAAATTCTGAAAATTGTCCTTAAGCAAGTTTTTTGTACAATTAAGGGTACATTTTTTAAATAAAAAAATGATGGGCCTACGTTGTTATATTTTCAATATATAGTAATATTTACTGAAGAATCCAATCTCATAAAAATTATTATTTGCATTTTTACAATATTTTTTTGCAATTGTTTAAATTTATTTATTTTTTATTTCACTTAATGATAATTCTTATCCCGAGAATTATCTTTTATTGGAAACATTTCGTCGTATCTCTCATCGTTAGCGAGAAATTAAATGTATATTGAAAATCGAATAATTTTTAAGGGACGATTTCATCCCTTCAAAATTATTTTTTGCAAAAAAAAATAACTAACCTGGACACACTCTAAATATCCTCAAGGTTCAAAACTTTTAGAATTTTCAGGTTGGGGAACTTCCCTTGTTAGCTAAAGAAGATGACAATGATTTTTATAAGAAAATGTCGAGGTAATGAAAAAGAGATTGACAGATCACTCCTGTTAATTTTGCGGCCTTTTTTTTTATAAAGAGAGTCTGTTCTAAAATATCTACTTCTATAATCATTCAATGTAGGAAAATCACAAGTTTGAATGCTTTACATTCGGATATCCTTACCGATAATGTAAGATAATGTTATTGCCCCTTTGCAACCAGTTTGCCTTCTGATCGCTAGGTGGCACTTCCTTTGGACCATATTCTTTTATCAACGGTAAAAGGTCTCACCCTTTCGAAAGCAATTCATATTTTGACCGCGAGATGGCATTTCATTCATACCGTACTGTTTTACCGGTCACGAATATTTCGCCTCTTTGGAAGCAGTTCCAACTTTTACAGGAGCGAAGAGAGCGCGAGTCGTGTCTCACTTTCGACAATGGCACGAAACATCTCCACACTCATCTCTGTCCTATGGATCCTATATTACGGAGGATTGCTCGATCCCAATACTCGTCATATAGTGAAAGTCCCCCCCCCCCCCATCGTGACGTCACAGGCGGACCCGTTCCAGTACGTTTAACATTACGGAGCGACATTTTACTCAATTTTTGTCGATCTTTTGAACATTTTAAAAATAATTTTCGGGATTTTACTTTATAAATTTACTATATATTTTTTGGAATCAATCTTTATGATTATCGGTAAATTAAATAGTTCTTATATTAATTTAAATATGTATTAGTTTAATATGTGGTAAATTGCGGTATTGCTGCTTGAAATCAGAAATAAAAGTGTACATTTAGAGTAAGTTTTTACTTGACAAAAGTTCTCCAGTGCTCGAAAAAAATACGCCAGAAATTTTTAAACGATGCAATTGAATATATTGCCGGTTTCATAGCCAAACAAATATTTAAGAGTACTTATCCCGAATTAGGCGATTATACCCTGTGACATGGCATTTTTTGTTGGGAATCACCGAATCACGAAAACCATCACAAAAGATGGCACTGGAAAAAGAGGCAGAACCGGAAAAAAGCATATATTTGTCGAAATATCGCGGACATTCGAATTAATTCGATCAGTTTCAATCGAAAGATTTAGAAGTCGCAACGATTCCCCGAGTCACCGAAACATCAGTTTAACCGTTAGGTCGAAAGAAGTAGGTGACTCGCGTAATGTACGCGAGAACCGGATCGAGCTGGCTCGCGCAAACAGTTATGCCTGCTTTTTTCATACTCGCGGGTAGCTATCCTTCGAATAAAGACATTCAGGTGTAAAAAAACTTCGCCAAATATATATATGTGCCCGTCACTAGTCCTTTCTGTTATAATCTCGGTTACATTATGTTAATACGGTCACGAAACAACTGAAATCAATTATAATGCACCAAATACGAATAATCTTTCTTCTCGGGTTCATTCAGTTCTTTTATTAGCTAAAGAAAAAATACACAGATCTTTTATTAGCTAAAGAATGAATACACAGAATTTATAAAACTATATAACAGAATCTATAACATAAAAAATATATACAATTTTTTAAACATTTTTGGCGAGCCGCTTAATAATATAACAATAAATAGCCTCAAAGGTATTAGGACTTTATTATTACGTCAATGTCACCAAATATGCAACATTACTAGCGTTCATATCATTGTCTGCCCGCTTCTTTCAATGTACTGTAATAGCATAAAGCCTAAAATGCTCTCAGAAACCATAAATATTATTAAGCGGCTCGCCAAAAATGTTTAAAAAATTGTATATATTTTTTATGTTATAGATTCTGTTATATAGTTTTATAAATTCTGTGTATTCATTCTTTAGCTAATAAAAGATCTGTGTATTTTTTCTTTAGCTAATAAAAGAACTGAATGAACCCGAGAAGAAAGATTATTCGTATTTGGTGCATTATAATTGATTTCAGTTGTTTCGTGACCGTATTAACATAATGTAACCGAGATTATAACAGAAAGGACTAGTGACGGGCACATATATATATTTGGCGAAGTTTTTTTACACCTGAAGAAGGTGTTTTTGATTCGATTTCACATCTTTTTGTAATCAAATTATTTGTATTAAATCAATTATTGATTTATTATCTGATTTATTATTTTTTTTATTTTAAATTTAATTAATTATCCTCCGTCGCCGCCGCCGCGTGTAGTGAGAAGGACGAAAATCAATGCAAAAGGGCGAGAGGGTGAGGACAAGGGCCAGAACAAGAACGAGAGCCCCTTATATTGATATTCGAAACGACCGCGCCACGTGGCCATCGCCTATTGGTTGGATCGCTGCGGTGCCACCGAAACGGTCGACGGAAAAATTCAAGCGATCCAAGCGAAGTGAAATATTAAAAAATGCACATCTCTGTATTAAATGAACCAATCGATTTCGTTCATAGCTTAAAAAATGCAGAAAAATCGTCCACTCTCGATGGCCTCGTTAAAGTTGACTTTACTCATTCAAGAGATTCGAAAAACAACATTCATTGTCCAATTTGACACGCCAGGCTGAACATCGCAGATAATGACTACGTCTGAGTTTTGCGCCTCTATATATACATATTTGGCGCGAAACTCTACCGAGTTTCTTCATCTGCCAGATAAATAAAGGTTTGATTATTTTCACTGAACTGTAAGGTTTGCTATCTGGAGGACAGTTAAATGTTTTGACCAATCTGGCAACACCACAAATGCAAGAAGTATATAACTTCGTGAATTACGATACCCTTTAAATATTTACGTCTATTGGTGGGAAATTTTGAATTTGATTTCCTGAATTAATGTTAAATTATATTAAGCACAATCTTGTAGAGTATTTTTATTACTTTATAACTTCCAGCTGCTAAAGAAAAGTATTTTGTTAGAAAATAGTTACCCATCTTGGATAATTACATGATATTGGAATATGTGATACGTTTAACGAGTTAAAGTCACAGAATATGCATTATTAATAAAAATTCATTATCCATTAGCTGAGGTTCAGCATTAAATGAAAAGAAAGGAAAGAAAATTGTAAACATCTGCACTTTGATTAAACTATCGTGTATTTATCGTTTATCATCCTGACTATAAAATTATTGTTCATTTGGTCATTCTCCGTGGATTACGCAGTCACTTTATTAGGTTATACACGTTTGTGGCCTATAGGTTATACAAAACATTTCCAAGTGCTCCCATCGAGGGCGCTATAGTAGGTGTCTGCCAGATATTTGCTACTCGAACTACCGGATAACTTTATCCGGTGGATAACTTTTAACTGGAAGTGAAAAGAACCGAACTGAAAGATATATTCCGGATAACTTTGTCGGGAACTTATCCGTAGGTAAAAAAAAAATGGGCATTTGAGTAAGATGAGATCAGAGGTACCGCCTCACCTCTTGCCTCGCTCCGCGTCACTCCGACAACGACAGCGAGGACCGCGAGGCAGATCGACAAGACCGGACCTGAACGACGAGGACGGGCACAAAAAGAGCACGAGAAGAGGACATCTAGCGGCAGCATTCTCCGACTAAAGGGCCTCAAGGGCCACGTCAGGACCACCGAGCCCAGGTTAGGCGCAGGCGTCAGATTCTCCGAGGGAAGGGCTCCGACCGTCCAGATCAACCCGGCATAGCCGGTGGTGGCCCTCTCGCAGGTCCCGGTCTTGACCGATGATGACCGCCCGATCACCTAATAGTGACGGGAGATTCCCGAGGAAGCAACCACCCGATCGTGTCGACCTCGGGTCGACTGAAATGCAATGATGACTCTACCCCATCGGAAGTACCAGGAGCGAGAAGTCTTAGCCAGGATGCCGCTGGTGGGCCCGCCAGGTGCTCCCCAAGACAACTGTCCTAGGTTCTAGGTTCTATTCTAGGTTTATGTATAGAAATTTGTGCCTGTAGGAGAATTCTGTACACCAATTCGAAAGCTCTCGATATCGTTAACCGCGCTGTCTCAATGGGGTATAGATATTGACAGCTATTGACAGCTGTCGAATTGGCGTACAGAATCCCACCTCTGTGTCCTCCCTACCTTACCACCGGGGGGTGGGAAGCGCGACTCGACTAGAATATCCTTATAAAATCTACGCGCGAGTGTCCCCAAACAGCAATTGATGGAACCCTAAATGAGATAAAACGGAAGGAAGCCCTGACACATTTTTTTTCCATTCTATACGGCAACTGTTAGCGATCTACTTTGATATATGGAAATCTGTGGTTTTGTATGTTTTGTTCCATGACACTTTTGGCTCGCGTCCACGTGCAAGTAAAACGTTCGAGAGTTGCTCTTAGAGAATTCTCGCCATCATGTACACG